TGTAATCAATTTTAATGCCTGCCGCTTACGTGAGCTGGCAGACAAACGAATCAGATCCGATGCACAGCCAGAGCCCTTCCCGGATGCGCAGATACGGAGAAAGTTGAAAGGGTTACCATCACCGGAGAGTCTGGGGGTTGTACGTGGTGTTTAATGTGATTTGTTGTAGGTTCTCAGTGTGTGGGTGGGTTCACCGGGTTGGATTGTTGTGCTCACGTTTGCAAATTCATAATTTAATTAGTCTGGTGTAGTTAAAATTCCCGGCATGTAGCCCAATTGGATGATGATAAAAATGCTAAATTACTTGGGGAAGCTTTTTACGACCAACAACGGAAGGAGTCGTTGCAGCTTGAGCTTCTCCTTCTGCTGCTGCTGGTGCTTGGGCCATTACATCTTCCGCTCTGAGTCACCAGCTTTTCTCCGAGTTCTTCTAGTGGCACTCATCAGCCTGGTCATGTTTATGGACTTCCCCACTGTTGTGACAATCATCTTTATGGCTCATTGCACTTTCTAGATGTTTATATCATAGGGATATCTCATTTTGGACAGCTCTTTCGACTAAATGTAGAATTGTCTGCAAGTGCACTTATGTGCGAGTCAGGGCCAGGAGTTTTGAAAAAGTTTCTAAAGCCCGGCTCAGAGGCCGTTGTGCGTCCGTGACTCATGTGGCGAGTGCAACGCCTTGCATGCCAAGCAGCACCTTCGCCTTGGAATGCGCGGCACGAACGAGATGTTCCCTAACGGACGGGACAACACTATGTGGGGAAGATGATGAACTGCACAGCACAGACCTGGCCTAAACCCCTCTTATTTATTTTCCCCTCTCTCTCTCTCTCTTCTCCGTTACAGGCCCATGTGGTCACTGCCTTCGAGCAGTCGCTGTCGAACATGACCAACCGGCTGCAGCAGCTGACGGCGACGGCGGAGCGCAAGGACGGCGAGCTGACGGACATGCGGCAGACCATCGAACTGCTACGGAAGCAGTCAATCCAGGCGGGCCTGACCACGGCGCACATGCAGAGCATGGGCGTGCAGACGCAGGGTCACAACCAGAGCCAGATCCAGGGCCAGTGTCAGGGTCAAGCCGGGGACCAGAAGCCACCGCCATCGGGTGCACATCGACCCAGCAATGGCAACGGCAGCGGTACAGTGGGCCTGGGAATGCAACGCCAGCACAGCACGGACTCCATGTGCTCGCTGAACTCCATCAGCTCGGGTTGCTCCGCTGCCCAGGACAAGAACAAGGCCAACAAGAAGAAGGGCTGGCTGAGGAGCAGCTTCACCAAGGCCTTCTCCCGCAACGCCAAGATCTCGAAGACCAGCCGTCATATGGGCCACCACCATCAGCACCAGAACCACAGTCAACAGGATCCAGCTTCTGGAAAGCTTCCCTTGCCCAATGGCCATGGAGAGCTCTTGGGCCTGGCCTCTCTGGCCACCCAGCCGGCTCCTCCTCTACCCAAGAGCAGCCAAAGCAGTCCCGCCAAGACACTCACCCTCATAGACAATGCCAAACCCATTGATGCCATCGAGCAGGAGGATCAGCAGGTGGTCGAGGACCTCAAGAAGCAGCTGCGCGAGAAGGATCTCGTTCTGACCGACATTCGCCTGGAGGCCTTGAGCTCGGCTTCCCAGCTGGAGAGCCTTAAGGAAATGATGAACAAGATGCGTGCGGAAATGATGTCCCTGAAGCAGAACAATGAGCGCCTCCAGAAGCTAGTAACAACCCGCTCCCTGGCCGGCTCCGAAGCAAGCTTAGGCCAGGCCATCAGTCCGAATGGATCGGTGGCCGGCAGCTCTGAAGTGTCGCGTCGGTACTCCCTGGCTGATAGCACCAATCGCCCCCCGATGGAGTTGCCAGCCCGTCTCAGCGAGGAGCTGGAATTGGAGGAGGAGTGCTTGCCGCCAGCCCCAGCCCCAGAACCGCCACCACCACCGGCTCCCAATGGTGTCAACGTGGCTCCCCTGAGTCCCAGCACCCACATCGACCTCACCCCGCCTCCACCTGCGCTGGAAGCAGCCCCGCTAGGCAGTCCAGTGCACATGCCCAGTGCCACGGAGGAGCTGACCGATGTGTGTGATGGCAAGAAGATCGCCATTGCCTGCTACCTTGGCCAACCAGATGCGTTTGCAAAGTACTGTGAAGAGCTGCAGGAAATGGATGGCTTCTACGCCAACGGCCACGAGGCAGATGCGCATTCCCAGGGGGAACGCAAGGCGAACTTTGCAGCCGCCAGCTGCAATGAGTTCGTCATTGCCTGCACCTACATCTCCGGCAAGACGACGTGGCAGAACCTGGACTACGTGGTGCGCAAGACCTTCAAGGACTATGTGGCTCGCATCGATCCGGGTACCAATCTGGGCCTAAATACGGACTCCATCACCTCGTACCACTTGGGCGAGGCGAAGCGGGGCCCGGAGATGGGCTTCCCCGAACTGCTGCCCTGCGGCTACATCGTCGGTAGTGTTTGCACCCTTTACATCTGCCTGCAGGGCGTGGGTAGCCTGGCTTTCGACAGTCTCATCCCGCGCAGCATCGTGCACCGATACATCAGCCTGCTCACGGAGCACCGACGTCTGATTCTGTGTGGGCCAAGCGGTACGGCAAATCTTACCTGGCTCGCCGACTGGCCGAATTCCTGTGGCTCGGGCGGCTCGCGGTAACCCTTCAGAGGCCATTGCCACGTTCAAGTAAGCCAAGTCGGATTTTTAATATATCTTTACCTATTGCTTATTATACTCTCCACTCCTCAGCGTTGACCACAAATCCTCGAAGGATCTTCGTCAATATCTGGGCCACATTGCCGAGCAGGCGGCCATAGCCAACGGCGCCTCGGAACTTCCCTCTGTGATCATTCTGGACAACCTACACCACGCTTCGGCGCTGGGCGACGTCTTCTCCTGTCTGCTGAGCGCCGGTCCTGCGAACAAGCTGCCCTGCATCATTGGCACCATGTCGCAAGCAACCTGCAACACCACCAATTTGCAGCTGCACCACAACTTCCGATGGGTAAGTCGCTGGATTTTGTAGAATCTCAGAGACGTCGCACTTATTTAATCAATCATGTTATTGCAGGTCCTTACAGCTAATCATATGGAGCCGGTAAAAGGTTTCCTAGGACGCTTCCTGCGGCGTCGCCTCTTCCAGCTGGAACTGCAGACGCAGCATGCCCAGCCCGAGCTGGCGGCTGTCCTAGCCTGGCTGCCCTCCGTGTGGCAGCACATCAACAGATTCCTCGAGGTGCACAGCTCCAGTGACGTGACCATCGGCCCCCGACTCTTCCTTGCCTGTCCGCTGGATCTGAAGGACTCGCAGGTGTGGTTTACAGACATCTGGAACTACCACTTGTCGCCATACCTCGTGGAAGCGGTGCGTGAGGGTGTGCAGCTGTACGGACGCCGTGGTGGTGCCTGGAACGATCCTTCGGCCTTTATCAGGAACTCCTATCCCTGGCCCTATGGCCCGGACTCGGTGCCCCCACTGCGGCAGATCAATGCTGAGGATGTGGGCCTGGAGGGCGTGGCTCTGACCAACGGCGAACAGCAGGATCCCTTGGTAAGTCCCCTGAATTCATCCTATCGAAACATCCAACTAATATATGCTTTTTACCCTAGCTCAACATGTTGATGCGCCTGCAGGAGGCGGCGAACTACTCGGAGGCTCAGGATCAGGAGTCCGACTGCGCCAGTCTGGACTCCAACGTCACGCCCGATAGTTCGGCGGGTGCCGAGTAAAAGCCTCAAAGACTAACCTCTTCGTACATGCCAAATTTAGAAGGACTAACTTTCGGAACTCACCGCGGACCGTTCACCCTGCACTTACCGGACCCACACAAATGGGATTTCTTGCACTACTTTCGCAGCCTCTCTCAAAGAAGTTTCAAGGGGTCTCCATTTGCACCGCCAACCATCCCAGTCCATTGCTAACCCCTCCATCCGTAAAGTAAATTGCACTTTTTAGCGCACTTGTTAAAAATGCAAATTGTTCAGGTTCCAAAATTTAAAACTGAAGCACTAGCCACTTCAAAAAGGTAAACGGTCCCGGTGGCAATCCCGAAATACCCAAAACTCGAGAGAAGAAACATTAAATGTTATTCGGAAAAGAGAAATTACACGGTTTTGTATATAGAACAAAGAAATCCCCTATGCTTAAGTGTGAAGCTGTTTGGCGGCTTCGATGACTTTTTATACCCTTTATCCTAGCCCAGCCCCGGCAGATCATATTGAGAATAACGTATAGTAACCCTAACATATAAAACTATTGTAAATGTAGCCGTAAGATTTTGCTACTACCAATTTACAAGATGTATATTCGATGGAAAAAGCTTTCACTTTAGTTTAATTATTTGCGTAATCATCATTAAATATTGTTACAAACATATGTCGTATTTATAAACCCAATGAAGCAAATACCATTTAAATATTTATTATGCCAAGCCGCGCTTAAACACAGGAATATGGGAACGTAAATACGTAATGCTCCCCTACCTTGATATAATAGCTAAATTAACACCCATCCCCATCAGAATATTAACAACTACATACACTACCAATGCGAGCAGTAAAACTATAGGATACGATTTAACGAACGCGTGTCTCTGTCTAATTTAAATGTGTGCATTTATGGATTATGACATCAAATCAAAATAAATTAAATATCAATCTCAATTCGTCTTTTCTTGTGACTTTTAAAAAGAATTTATTTAAATTTAACGAGCGGTCAAATGTTAGTTGTCGGATTAACAGGAATGTTATGTTATTGTGCTGATATTTTACTTTATGTTTCTAAATTATGCTTGTCATGTAGTGACCCAACTTGCAACTTTTGAAAACAAGGGGGCGTTGTGGTTCAAATAAGTTGAAACAGGCAGTTTTTTGTGCATTTTTTATTCAATTTTTTATTATCGATGACATATCGGTATATTAATATTTTGATTTGTTAATTACGCTCACTCAACAGCAAACGTGTAAAATGGTTTTCTGGATGTACAAGATGTAAAATGTTAAACAACAGCTTCGGAATTCAGAGTGACCAAACAACGACCGACATCCTACAGCATGTATGTAAACGTGTAAAATGTTATCTAGTCGTGTATAATTTTAAATAAAAGCTTCGACATTCAGAGTGACCAGAAACTAAAGGGCAGATCTGTTAAGAATTTTACATTCTGCATGAGCATTCGACCGCAAAAAGGAGAATTCGACCCCATGTATCCGTAAATGTTAAAATTATGATCTTGACCGTTATTGTAATATGTTAAATAACAGCTTTGGAATTCAGAGTGACCAAAGAAAAATATCAAAATATACTAAAAAAAATTTCGCAACTTTGGGCAAACAAACTATTTATAAGTTTGGTCAGTTCAATTTTTGCAGTCAAAAAGGTAAAATTATTAAAATCGTGGAAATTCTAATATTTGTTAAAACCAGTGAGCAGGCCTACTATAAGTGATAAATTGGGAATGGTGTGCCTGCTGGAGTGGAAGAACCCCAGTGACAGCTTTTGTGGGGGCCAATTTCAGCAGGCTAAGCTCCAACGATTACACAACAACTGCGAAAACAGTGAAAAATGGAGAATATGCAGATAAACGACCTTCCACTGCACGGCCCAAGGAAAATAGACGGCAAAGATGCTAGGAATTGAGCCGGGCGGCTTAACTAGCCCATTATGCAAGTGGGACTCTCAGCCTCGTCCTCCCACTATTACATAACCTCCAATCGTCACTCACAAATATTTTCTATGTATTGTTCTGCAGACCTCTTGGAAAAATGGCTCTAGACTAATCAACAACGCTGTGCTGCGCCAGCTGGCGCCCAGCTGCCCAAGAACGCCCAGACCGGCAGTGTGGCCGGTATCCACACGCTGGACAAGATCGGCAAGCGCGAGATCGTGGGCTTCGGCTGGAACGGTACCGCCTGCTACGCCGATCGCGTGGACTACCCCATGCCCGCCGTGCGCTTCCGCGAGGCCAACAACGAAATCAACGCTTTGCGCACTAAGGAGCAGGGTGACTGGAAGAAGCTCAGCCACCAGGAGATCAAGGCCCTCTACCGCGCCAGTTTCTGCCAAACTATCGCCGAGGTGCAGGCCGGCACTGGAGAGTGGAAGCTGCACCTTGGTGTCGGTCTCCTCTTCACCGCCGCCGCCATCTGGGTTGCCGTGCTGATGAACCTCTTCGGTGAGACACTTTGTTTCCTTCGACCTTTTCTCTGTACTGAATCTGTACTGTTGTTTTTAGTGTACGATGAGCTGCCCGTTACCTTCGATGAGGAGCACCAGAAGGCCCAGCTGAAGCGTATCATCGATCTGGAAATGAACCCCGTCACCGGCTTGACCTCCAAGTGGGACTACGAGAACAACAAGTGGAAGAACTAAGTCCACGATTCCAGCAAATGCTTTGTGTGTGAGCGTAGTTAAGCGAAAAGTTAGTCGACGACGTCTATTGTGTATTTAATGGAAGCCAGATAGTCGAAATTAAAGTATGGCCGCCGCTGGCTAAACTGAAAAATGTTTTTGGTATAGAAGTCTGATGATTTAAGCCAGATGTGTGCGGTGCATGGAATCAAATGTTAATGTTTTTAAGCGACGAAATCAACAAATAAGGACACAGTAACAATCAAATTAACTTAATATGGACGTGGAGTCGTAGATATTTATTGGACTGGGTCGGATGATGTTAACATTATACATATTCAGGAATTCATGATTGGCTTTGCCTTTGGAAGTCTACGGATAGATCAAAATTGCGCTCATAGGTGAGGGATATACAAAAGAAGAAAGTAAAAGGGTGCCTTCACATGAAGGAGTTAAGGTACCAATTGTTTTAAAATTTAGCTAGACGATTCGCCTTTAATGCTGATCCAGAATATATATGATTTATAGGGTCGGATATGACTCCTTTAATATTTTTCAAGCTTCTGACTAAAATTATAATACCTGCAAGGGATAACAACGTTATTTTGGTAATTTAGACATTCGTTCCAGCAAATAAAAATAAATAGATACTTCGACATAATATTAAGCAGGTAATATAGTAAAAAAGTAAAGTGCGATCATTTTTAATTTGTCATTTGTCAAAATTTTTAAATTCAAGTAATAACAAACATTTTATTATAAAAATTGTTTGATTCTTCAATTAATAAGTAATTTATTTGCTTTTAACAAAAATATATTTGTGTCTGAGGACATCGGTGGCCCACTGTGCACTTCGGTATGTTTAAGCGGACCGTACATCGGCAATCCAGTATTTTAATTTATCTTTGTATACGCTCCGCTGGTATTATTCACCAGCACGGCCACACTGTAAGGGCTCAACAATAAACGGTGGCAAAAATCTCATTAGTTTCTAGTTCTATTTTTATTTTGTATTAAGTTCAGCGAAAAGTTAACCCTCAACGCCCGCCCGCCCAGTTGCAGCCCCCGTTCAGTTCCTCCAGCTTGTGTTCTTTTCCTCCTCCCACGCGCTGCAGGTTTTGGTGCAGCGGTTGCTTTTGCTGTTGCCCTTGTTGCTGTCCCTGCTGCTAAAGTGGCACAAGGACGAGTGGTCGTCCTGGAAGGCGCAACAATTTACCCCGCGCAACAAGGTGTCGCGGGTGGAGGAAAAAATCAATAAATAGCCAACGAGCAAGTGCATACGCGAGTGGCGTCGCTGTGTATGCGTGCTAGTGGGTGTAGGTGTCAGTGTGAGTATGTGCGTCGGTGTGAGTGAGTGCGTTGTATACTAAACTTTCTTTTTCTAGGCTTCCAGCTGCGGAATAGCTAGCTCAGACAAGGGAAGACACCGCGACACGTCCTCAGCGGAAGCGTACTATTATGGACAACCCCGGCGATGACAGTGACAACGATGTGGTCACCGATTTCCTAAACTCCAACTGCAGCGAGCCTGCCTCCAACCCAGCCGCTGCTGCTGTACTCAATGGTGGCCCGTCTACGGGCCCTCGCGTCACAGTTGAGAGCCAAAACTACTGCATACCCATCATAAACGCACCAACTCCGACGCCAGCGCCCGCTCCGGCCCAGTCCACCGCTCCAGCCAGCCACAATAATAGCGTTAACAACAACAACATGATACCCACCATCAATGTGACGCCGCACAGCCCCGCTCTGGCCTCAAAGTACAACAACATATTCGAGGACACGCTCAGTCAGTTGCAGAGCATCCGGGAGACAGTGGTGCAGATGAAGAACTCATCCTCGGCTAGTCAGCACGTGCAGGACGGATTGTCGTCCAATGGCATGCTGAGCGCGGCTATATTGAGTTCCTCGCTGCCCGATCTAACGGGGGCAGGGCCGGGATCTGGCTTTGTCAACTCCGTGGCTCCGTATGCAATGTGGTCGACAGCAGCGCCACAGCAGTGCCTCTTTCTGCACACGGACAGAAGGAAGTCGTGGACAACGGCGGACGATGCCAGTGCCGGTGGTGGTGATTGCACCAACAAGAGCGTCAGCCTTTCTAGCCTGGACAGCGAGGAGCAGGAGACGATCCGCGTCACTGAGCAGCGTAGACGTTCGGCTCGAAACAGCACTGGAGGTAGGATATAATTCAAATTAATTTTTATCTAAATCAGGAAAAGCTATATAAGCTGTCCTACAAATTTTTATAGTCCTAAAAACAGGATCTATAAAGAAATCAGTAATTATCAATTTTAAGTTATTTATATTTTATCGGGTAAACTTAGAATTTCCTTAAACTTTGTTGTTTAATGCGTTTTATTGAATCTATGTTGGTCTTTAAAAAATTTAGAAGGATTCGGAAGGGGGCAAAACAAAAATATTATGATATCGTAATTTCCGACATCTAATCTGCATATTTTAATAATAATGAAATGAACTGAACACTCCCAAATAATACTGCAAACACGTTAAACAACAAAGTGACTGCCTTATGAGAAGTAAGCTATTCCCACATGCCTATACTTACGGGGAATGTTGCTTGCAATCATTAGGAAATAGCGCTGTAACCGCATTTTGCCTTTATATCCCATTCGTGGGTTTGTTTTATGAGAGCCATAAAGCTTGAAAAAAGTAATTATACATTTCCTAGATTTGTGCAGATCCGCAAATACCCTACAAAGTTATTTAAAAATCTTTACCTGGTAATGAAACACATTGTTTTTTATTTTTAAACATTTCTTATTTTAAGATGTTTACAAATTATGCACATTATGTAAATTGTCCAAGCTATTTATAATTTAGGGAAAATATTCCACTTGTTCGAAGGAAATTGATATGCCGCTGATTTAAAGCGAACGTGGGGGCATGTGTGCCAAGTTAGTTTCGATTTTGATAAGAAATTCCACAAAAGCCCGTTATCTTTTGGAGCTCTCTGGCATTGGTAGCTCCGCGAAGAGGCAGAAAAATCGAACCCTCCACGATTAGTAATTAGTAACTAACCGAGTGTCTACCTCTCATCGTTGACAGGCATTTCTACCCACTCCTTGAACGAGGCGGAGCTCGCAAGGGACTTCGAGCGGATTGCAGCTAAACGTAGCCTGGCCACGGAGATCATCAGTCGGATACCGTTGCAAAAGAGCATTTCGACGAGCTCGATAATTGCCAAGGAGGACATCAAGGCGATCGCCCGCCACCTTACCGATAGCGAGGATGAGAACCAAAGCCTTCTGCGCTCTCACGCCAAAATCGAGGTCTACGACAACGTAGAGAAGCGTCCAAAACGCGGATCCATCTTCTTTCGGAAGAAGAAGCCCAAGGCGAAGGCGAAGTCACTCATCGGAGGTCAACTCAGTGCGTGCGACGTGTGCGGGGCCAGCATTACGCTGGCGCAGATAAAAGAGCATCACTTGGAGTGCAATCGGGTAAGAAAAATGGCAGCTGGACAGGACTATTATGACGGTCCGGACGCCGCTACCACCTTTAGCAATCCAGAAGATCAGCCGCTTATACGGTCCGACCTGCAGTTCCTTAATGAGCCTCCCATCGAAGCTCAGCATTTGGGTGCAGATCCCTCGTTGGGCATAGTTCTCAAGGAGCATGACTCCTGGACCCCAAATATACCCAAAGAGCTACTCAAGACTCTCAAAGAGCTGCAGATTAAGCGGCAGGAGCATATCTATGAGTTCATCATGACCGAGAAGCACCACTGCCAGACCCTTATTGTCATGCAGAAGGTGTTTGTGGAGAGTTTGGAGCGGCACTTTCCCTCTCTCAATCTCAATGGAATGTTTCCGCGGCTGCAGCAGCTTACCGATCTGCACACCTTCTTTCTGCGCCAGCTGCGACTTAAACAGCGGGAACAGCCGATGGTCGACAGTATTGCTGACATCCTGCTGGACTTCTTCTCACTGGAGCAGGCTCAGTGCTTGAGACTGGCGTACGGCGAGTTCTGTGCCAACCACCGCACCGCCTTGGAGCAGTTTAAGCTCTGCCTGACCGATCCCAGCTTCGCAGAGTGGTACAAGCATTGCCTACAGAATCCACTGCTCAAGAAAAAGGGCATTCCCGAGTGTATCCTGTTCGTAACTCAGCGCCTTACCAAGTACCCCCTGCTGATCGAGCCGCTCCTGAAGAGCGCCAAGGATAACAAGTTGGAGACGGACAAACTGCAACATGCGCTCAATCTGGTCAAATCGCTCCTAGTCGACGTCGATGCCTGCGTGGCGGAGAAGGAGCTGCGAGAGCGACAACTTGAGATATATGGTCGGGTGGATGCCAAGTCCTTCGCCATATACAAGAACAAGCCCTTCCGGAAATCTGAACTTGGTGTGGAGTCACGGCGCCGCCTGAAGTTCGATGGATTAGCAACTTTAATGCAGGGCAGAGCCAAAACCCACTGGTCCTAGTAGTGGTGCTCACCGACTGCCTGTGCTTTCTTACGAGAACTCGGGCCACAACAAGTACACCTTCTTTACGCCGGAACACAAGGCCGGCGTGGTGCCGCTTCAAAAACTGCTTATCAGGGAGAAGGCTGGTACCGAGTCCCGAGGAATATATATCATAAGTTCCAATCCGGATTTTCCTGAAATGTACGAGCTGAAGGTGCAGACACCAAAGGATAAGAACACGTGGATACAAACCATTCGCCAGGCCGTACTCGACTGCCCCGCCACGGATATTATCGAGGCTGAGGATCTGACGGCAGAGGAAAAACTGCGCATTGGAGTTAACAAGAGAGAAACGATTGAGAAGATGCGGCAAAAGGACATTGAACAGGCACTGCTCCTCGAAGAGAAGCTGATGCTGCAGCTGAACTTGTTAAAGGAGCAGAAACCTTTCGGGGATGTGATTACCGGCTCCTCCTCCTCCACTTCCGCCAATGGCAGTGCAGCTAATTTCCTGGCAGCCTTCGGCTCCTACAAGGATCTCGTAACCGCTGACTGTGACACGGGCGAGCTCTGGCGAAGGGTGCTTAACACCGTGCAGGATATTAGCCAATTGGCGTCCACGATCTACTCAGCGGCAATGGGTCAGCCGGTCTCCAGAACTCTTAGCAGCGTGGGCGAAAAGCAAAGCGAACAGTATGCGTCACCCACACTGCCCAAGCGAGCGGAAACCTTTGCCGGATTCGACGAAAAGCGTGGAAAGTTTGGCTCAAAGCTGGTGCTCACTCCCCGTCTCCAGGAACTCCAGGAGGAGAAGCGGGAACCGAAGAGCAGCTCGTCATCGGGCGCGTTGGCAGTCGAGCAGCAGTCACTGGAGAGCAACAACTATGCCGTGCTCCAGGTGACCCACCATCTGCACACCCTGCTCTGCATAATTTCTCAGCAAATGACAAGCATCCACAGTCTACAACAGCAGCTGGCCCTTTACCGGGAGAGTCCCCGAACGAGTGCTTACACGCACAAGGACCAGCTGGAGGAGCTTCGCAATTTGCAGGACAAACTGCAGGAAGAGAAGACAGCCTGGCATCGTCAGCAAAAGCAGCAACAGGATGAGCTGGCAGATATGAGGACCCAACAGTTGCAGTTGCAGCAGCAGATCAAGGCCGAGCAGGAGGATGTGCGTCAGCAGCGCGAGCAGCTATACAAAAAAATGGAGCTGCTATCGAGTCAGGGCCTGCTGCTCTCGCCCAGCACTCCGCTACCCGTACCCCTGGTGACTCCGAGTCATCCCCTACCACATGCTCCAGTGTCCGATGAAACCAGTCATGAGACAGACATGGCAGGCAGTACCACTCCCAGTGTGGCTGGGACTGTGGACAGACGCAAGGAGAAGTGGCTAAGCGGCCCTTCCAGCTGCAAGACACCACCTGTAAATTTGCTCAGTGCCAATAATGCACCCAAGGCTAACTCCACCCTTGTTAAACAGAAGCTGCCCATGAAGCTATCATCGCTCTCGTCTGCCAGCACTAGTTCCGCCTCCCGTGTAGACAAGTCCGCCAGCTTCAACAGCACCCACAGCTCGCCAGCAGCGTCTTCCATTGGCTGTGTACAGCAAATCTTTCCCCTCAAGTTGGCTGACCGAAGGAATGTCACCACACCTTCAAATACCACAACGACCTCGACTCCAACACCAGGACTAGTGCCGCAACACTCGCGTACCGGTAGCTCGCCGGCAATCATTCAGCAGACAACGACCACAGCTACCGCCACACCCACTTCGGCCAACATAGCTCGAGCGGAATCTAGCGCTGCCCACTATACGCACCGAACACCAACGAGTAGCCGGGCTGGAACGTATGCCAGAACGACAGTGGGAGCTGGGGGCCTTGGCTTGGGAACCGGCACGGCGCCGCGTGCCAAGCCCGAGGAAGAGGAGATCTACTTCTGACGCAAATTCTCGCCAGAAGTCGAAATCTAAAATCTACATCAGTAGGCCTAAAGTCATTGGCACATATTTATCTCATTTAATAATGTCATTCCTTTACATACGCCTTCAAATGTCTAAGAATACCTTCATATTTCGTATGAAATACCTTATAGTCCTATGATGTTTAATATTATGTACCTGTGAGTGTAAATTTCAAGTCGAATAACCGACATTTAACATTTAGAATGTGAGTATATGTGTCCATGGACTTAGGCTGATAGATTACCTTAATAACCTTATAATGACAAGATGCATAACGTCCACACATTTGATTTGTTATATTTTCTGCATTCGATTCGCATCTCGCGTCTCCTATGGCGTTACTCTTCTTGTTTTTATAAGGTCTTTGATCAAACATTCCGCAAACAAGACCTAAAGAAACTAGAGTATAAAACCGATCTGGTTTTCGATTTCTTTCAGAGACGACATTTATAATTGGCTTCCCAAATACTTCATTCAATCTGAATGTTATATGAATGTTTTAAGTGTAGTTGTAAGTTTAATCCATTCCAAAACAGAATGCATATTTTTCATACTGCCCGTATTTTAGTCTCAATATTTTACTTTATTTACCATAATTGTACTTAATGATATTTTCACAGACTCGCTACCGTTCCAATGCATCTCAAACTGTTCAGTAATTTACTTTAATATTATTTATTATCATTTATTTATTAATATTTTAATGGAATTTTACATCAGACAAACAAGCAAAGTATACAACATGTGAGTGTTTTCTAACGAATTTTATTTCTTCAAAAAAGAAAGTTTTTAAATATTTATGTATACACTCGACTTCTATCAGTTTCCAAAAATATAATTTTAAAGTTATGTTTGGATATCACTCATTTCCGTGTTGCGCTTACAAACGACATAAAAAACTATTTAGGATGTAGTATATACATTGTAAATAAATTATATTATCTGTGTGTGTATTTTACATATCTGTTTTGCTCGCTATATAGTAAGTGTTTATGGGAGCACACACTCTCAATCCTGACCCTAATCCCCGTCTCATCTATGCAATATTATAAGCTCCAATAAATGTTTTAAATTATAAATCAGAATTACAAACTTTTATTTTTCAAGGTGGCACAAGATTTAATTCTATATTGGTTTGCACTTAATTGGTCTTATTTATTCTTACTCAAATGATGGAGTAATTCTCTGTGATTACAGGGCACATGTTTCTGCCGAAAACTTAATCTGAAATAAGGACACTTTCCATTTACTTTATTTTAAAACATCCAAATATTTATGTTTAATTATATTTAAATACTATATAACGAACAATAGTAATTATGCACGTTGCAAATACTAATTCAGAAACAACCCTTTCATCCAACTTAATGCGGTTTCTTACCTACATATCGATGTCATTCTTCCGCGGACATTTATTGCGGTTATGCCCTTCTTGGCGACACAAGCCGCAGCGACGCGTTTTCCCTGTTTTTTCAGAAGAATCCGCGCCTTGACTGCGTCCGGCCGGCGGGTTTCGATTGCCCGATCCCCAGGAAGAGCTGCTGCTGCTGGTACCTTGGTTTTGATCCTCATCGCCCCACTTGAAAAAGCCGCATGATTTCTCTCGCGTCGGACACGCAAAGAAGGGTCTGCCCTGGTTGGGTCCGTCCCTGCGCACAATTAGTCTGCTGGCTAGCTGCCCGCAGTTGCACTTCACCTCCTCCCCTCCATGATCTTGCGTGGTCTTTGTCTTTGTTTGAGTTATGGTGACAGTGCTGCTAGAGTTGGACCGCATAAACGAGGATTGTCCCCCTTGACTGCTTCTCTCCTGGTGACTTGGCAGAGTTACTACACGATTTGTGCCCCAGGAGTTGGCAGTGTTGCTGCTACTCTGGATGGGCTGTCTGAATGAAGATGGTGCTTGCCCTTCATCAGCCCATTGGAAGAACTTGCACTCGTTGGGCTTGGGGCACTTGTAAAACAGCCGGCCCTGGTTGGGACCATCTTTACGTACAGTGTGCTGACGAGCTGGCTGGTGACATCCTGTGCACAGGACTGCTTCTGGTTCGGCTGCCCCTGTGGAAGGCCTATCCCATTCGGTGCTGTCCAAGCGGGGTCTTTTTGCTACTGGTCTCGGAGGCGGTGTGGCTGCCGCAGTCGGGATGGCTGATCGAGCCCTACTACCCCACACCATTGGCTGCTCATTCGCTTCGTCCTGTGCCTTCACCCAGTCTGAAAGACTTAAATCCAGACGATTATCACTTTCCGTGGTGCTGCAACCGTTCACCAAGGCCTCGAACTCGGCATCATCATCTGCGGCAAAGGCAGCGGCTATGTCATCATCCAGAGTGATCGAATTGGCGACTTGTGGCTGAGTCGTACTCGTACTTGTCTCCACAGAGTCCACAGCAGCTAGCATGGCCTCCTCAAACCCATCATTACTGTCAAAGAATCCATCCATTTCGGTGGAAGGTGAACTAGCAGCCGCACAGCTAAAGTAGCTGCGAATGGTGCCGCCAGTGGAGGAGGTATTACTGGATTTCGAGCCTTTTTTCGGTTTTGTGTCGGCTTTTGGTGGTTTCTTCGGTTTTGCTGGTGGTTTCTTGGGTCCGCCGTTAATGGGCATATCCCCCTTTCCAGTTGGAGGAGGACCAGCAGCTCCAGAGCCACCTCCTCCTCCGCTTCCACCTCCACCTCCACCTTCGCCGCCACCTCCTCCCCCCGGTCCTGGTCGCCAGTCTCCTCCACTCCCTGCCTCCCCCACAATTCGTCCTGCTCTCTTCACAGAATCTAAATTAATGTGGAACGTAGAGCGGAAGAGATTGTCGCAGGGCAGGCAGGTCTTGTACCAGCCATTCGGGGTGTTGAAGACGCCGCGGAAGTAGGGCGTGCTCAGGCGGAACTTGAGCAGATGGTGTGTATCACCGCAGCTTGGGCAGCACTCATCTAAAGCGGTCACGTCCTTGCATTCCATAGGCATCCAGACAACATTTTTACAGTCGGGAAAGTTGGTGCAGCCGATGAACCAGCCCTGCTGATTCTTCTTTGCCTTCAGAGCCATGTGGCCGTCATTACACTTAGGGCATTTAAAGAGAGTTTGCATCATGGCCGGTTGACTGTTCTCGCTTCCTGATTCCTGGTTCGAGGAATTCGCCGCAGGGGTTTCGTTGATACGAGCTGCTATCTTCGAGTCCATTGCGGTGATCTTGTCGGTAATCTGTTGGTAGGACTGCTTATACTTGGCTATATTCTCCGTCAGAACAACTTTGGGATCCTTTTGACCCTGACAAATGAGTTTCAGGTCCGACTCGAACTCCGCGCGCAACTGGGGTTTGGCCAAAGCCAGTTCCATGGCATCATAACCCTCGTAGAGGCCCATCCCGATAACTCCCGGCACCAGGGCCCCCTTGTCCAATACTCCTATATAGCCTCGCTCCTTAATCGTGTTGATATGCTCGGCATGAGTGGCATCCGTTCCGATTCCGTGCTTTTCCATCAGAGCAATCAGATCCGCCTCCGTCAGCAGCGGAGGCGCAGTAGTGGCACCTTCGTGCAGGGACACCTCTGTCGGCTCAAAGCGCTGCCTCTGCTCGTAGTGGTGGATCTGCTTGGCGTTCCACTTTTCGTACACGTACACGTCTAGGTAGTTACGGTCGTGAATAACCAGTCCGTTTCCCGTAAACTTCTCGCCAGCAATGTCTATGTGTACAAGGGTTTCGGAACCAATGGCATCCTTGCTGACACAAGCGAGGAAGTGGCGGACAACTAGTTCATAGACCCTAGCATCATTTCCCTGCAGATCTAAGTGATTAAGAATGTATATTAAGAATAAGGACTTTCTGGGGATCTACTCACTGTCAGCCGGCTTGGTGGGATGTATGGGAGGATGCGCCTGATCCGACTTGCTGCCATTGCGTGGATTCGGACCCCAGTCAACCACACGTTGGGCAAAGGCTCCCCAGTCGGGGTGGCCCGTATGCATTTGGACTAGGGGCGCCAACTCGAACTCCTTGGAAAACTGGTTCGTCTCCGTGCGAGGATAGCTGATGAAGCCCTTGCTGTACAATTTCTCTGCAATAGTCATCGTCTCTTTGGCCGACAGCTTGAGCTTCCGGGAGCCAAGCTTTTCCATTTCCACCGTATCCATGGGCGTGGGCCGCCATTTGTGTTTGGGCTTGACCGTAACGCTCTCTACAAGAGCACGCGGAGCGGGCTCCGAGAGGCAGAGCAGCAGGTAGTTCTCACAAGATTCCTTGTCGAATAGACGGTTCCGTGCCCAGTTGAACTCCACCGTCAGGTCATCAATCGTGTGGAGAACTTGCAAAGGAAGTAAATAAATACTTAAATTTCGGTGCTCGGTTCTCGATTCTCTTACCTCTGATCTTCCAAAATGGCTCAGAGACAAAGGCCTCTACTTCCTTGTAACGTTCGGCGACGAACCCTAGAGTTGGGATCTGACAACTTCCATAGGATATGAGCTTATCTGCAATCTTTTCGGGGAACAGACGCTGGAGGCGCATGGTCTGAAAACGGGTGATGGCCGCCCCAGTTCGTAGATCCAGTTCAGTGCGTACATCCACTGCATCGCTCTGCCGCTTGTCCGGCTGCCCCAGCTGCTGCAGAGCCCGGCGTACCGCTGTCGTCGTAATCTCCGAGAAGCTGGCCCGATACACCGTCAGATTCGGCTTGATGGCACGGCAGACGTCGATGATCTCGTAGCCAATGTTCTCGCCCTCTCGATCACAATCCGTCCAGATGATTAGGCCCTGGCAGCCGCGCACCTCTCGTTCCAATGTCCGTTTGATGGGCTCATAGTCCGCAGCGACACTCTTCTTACGGGCGCATCGAACAGCGAGCGCGGATCAACGACGCGCCAGTTTCGATAGGATACCGGGAATCCCAACTGCATCAAGTGGCCGGAGACGGAGGTCATAACCATCTTGGCATTTTGGCCGCGCACAGGCGCCTCAAAGTCGTATACTTTGTTGTATACCGAGTACCCCTCGCGCTGCGTAGTAAATGGAAATAGTAAAATATTTCATAAATTCCTCCAACCTGGTTGCTTACCCGCCGTGCCGCACCTTGGGACAATAGGCCGGCTATCGTCTTGGCCGCGTCGTTCTTCTCAGCCACATTAAGGAACTTCATCTCCCTAGTTTGGTTAGCGTAACAACGTCTCTGTACGGCGATGACGGAGCGGAAGCATCTTAGAAACACAACCATTCAAATAAATTTGATATTCATTTAGTAATATTGCCATTTAAAACCAATTAGTCAGAAAACAATTCAGTCGCGCCACGGTCCAGAGATGGGTAAGCCCTCACGGTAGTACTATCGATATGCGTCTATCGAATTTTATCGGACTTAACACAGAAAATTTAAATTTTTGAGAAAATGCTTTAAAATATATTTTAAAGAAAATATGCATATTATCAAATGCTTCATTAAAAAACTAAAACACAAAAATGTTGTGTAAAAATTTGTTTGTTGTGCAACAGTTCTTTTGTTGTAGCAAAAGTCCAGCCTCCAATTTTTGTGCAAGCCATTTTCACTCAATGACATTATTTTCACTCATTATTTTTACTCACCACCTAGATCAGCATATCTTCACTCACTTGCAGTTTTGGAGAATTAAACAGCAAAAATGTTGTTGTTGTAAAAATGTGTTTGTTGTACAACAGTTTTGTTGTTGTTGTTGCCAAAAACAAGGCTTCAATTTGGACGTTTTCACTACAAATTCACCGACTTTTCGATTTCAAGCACCAGGCCAACAGAATCAGAGAGGGAGAACTTACTTTGGTGCAAGCCATTTTCACTCAATTTTTCCACTCGATTTTTCGATGTTACTGGCATTTTTGCTTACTTGAATTATTATTACTCTGCAAGGGTATATAAATAGTATTGAAAATAATATTCTCCCCACCCACAGAAAAAAGAATTTTTGGACTTCCTGAAATACGAAACTATTTACTTTATTTATTATATATCTCTCTATATAACTTTGCTGTTTGTTTTCTCTTTCACGTTGCTATATATTTTGTTTCTTTTTTCTTTTTGACTTATTTTCATTGCGCTTGTTTTTGGGGACTTTTTCTTTTGCAATTTTTTTGTGTTCTTTTAGTATTTTATCGTTTTTTAACTCAACATAAAATCTTAACAATTATATATATGCATTTATATATGTATATATATAAATATTTGTATATAATAAAAGGATAGAGTGAAAAATGTGTAAATACAAAGAGTAGTTCCGCGGTGTCTGACCAATGATTGGACAGCCCTGCTTCGCACAGAGCTGTGGAGTTGTTGGTTCGCATTTCGCAGTTGAAGTTTTAGTTCTAGGTTTAGTGTTGCTACTTCGGACTTAGGCTTAGCTAAAAACTCATTCGTATTTTTGTAGGCGATTCATAATTTATGTTCAATTAAAATATTAGTAATATTTAGAGCGTTTTTTAATCATGTTTTGGAGATGCTACGAGTGCTTCGCTAGGCTTCTGCCTCCCTGCACTACGACAGCACACTCCACCACATTAAGATATAGAATAACAACAAACACATGTTAAGGGCTGCCTAACAGTTGTGAGCCACTTGGAGCTTGCTCGCCCGCCGCCTTAGCAGCGCAGGGCGGTGCATCAACGACGCCACGACCGATCCTCGGACTCCTCATCCTCCTCTTCATCCTCTAGACGTAACTCCGGAAGTGTGTCGCTGCCCAACAGGCTCTCGCTCTCGCTGACGGACTGAATCAATTGTTTGGGGTTCTCTGGGACCGAAGTCTTCTCCACAGAGGGCGCTGCCATTGGAGCAGGTGCCGTTGGTGTAACCACAGGCGCCCACGAAATCTGCAAAAATAATTCAATCATGATATTTTCTAGAAGAACTACTTCATTCTCTCATCTTCACTCACCTGCAGGAGCTTGTCTTTGTACATTTTGCCACGGAGCACGGCCTGCTCAGCATTGAGGCGGGTCGCATAGGAGAGTATTAACTGTGGAATCTCGCGGTCTACATCATGCTTAGAAATCTCACCGAAATTCTGTGAAAGGAAAGCAATGTATAAGAAAAGTGCTCATCTTCGCATCCATCCAATTCAATCTACAAATTGCTGAGAGAGCTTACCTTGAAGTGCCCCAGGACAAAGTCTGCCTCTTCCGCCGCAAAGCCAGTGACCACAATGGCTTTTGGTCTTCGATCCACTCGCGTCGGTCCTTCTGGCAAGTTGGGCCGCTTACGTCCTGCGGCACCGCCAGCTACTCCCGAAGAGGTTACAAAGTGGGGCGCCTTGCTGTTGTTGTGCGCGGCTTGGGGTCCCCCACGCCCAAATTTCGCTGTAGCTCTTCCAATCGCTTCTGTATGGCCGATGTGTCGTTACCCTCCTGTTGCTGGGCAATTAGCTCCAGCTCCATGTCCAGCAGCTCCTTCTTCTGTTGCTCCTTGGTCTTCTTAATGGGCGGCTGCTGCTGCTGTTGTTGCTGGATTTGCGCCTGCAACTGATCCTGATCGGCATGGACATCCTTGCTAGCTTGTCAATGTTCTCCTGCAGCACTTTGATTGTCTGCAGAGTCAGCGGACGCTGGGCATCGTTCAGGTCCATCCGTTCAACAAGCTCCAGAGCAGTCTTCACTTGCTTGACATAGCTCTGAAGTAGCTCCTGTTTCCTTTTGCGCAGTCCGTTTGCTAGCTGATGCACCGCTTTCTGCTGTTCCTCCTTCTTCTTGCGTATGCTCGCGGCATTCGCAGCCGGATTCAAAGTACGACCAGCACCTGCTCCACCTGCCGCTGCTCCACCTGCGCCTGCTCCTCCCGTTCCTCCTGTCGTTGTGTTAAGCTTGAGACGCATAGAGGCGGGAGCCGCGGTGCTGGCCTGCTGTTCTGTCGATGGCGTGGCATTGTTGTTACCCGCACTCGCTTCAGTCAGGGGATTGGTATTAGTGATCTTTGCACCATCTGCATTCGGCGTGGGTACGGCGGGCACGTTGTGCAAATGATATTGGCTAGCATTCTTTCGGCCGCCACCTCCAACGCCGCTACCCATCGGATTAACCTGACCAACATCAACGCCGCTACTGTCGTTGTGCCAGAAAACCTTGATAAATCTGTTGTTGAGCACCGCTTCAGTGCTCCTGTAGGCCACATTGGCCTCCGCGTGCGTGGAGAATGTGACTATGGCTGCCTCGGGATCGCCTTCGTACGAGACTTGGATGTTGACAATCTTGCCAAACTTGGCAAAGTGATTGTTCAAATGGGCGATGGTGTTTAGTCCCCTCGGCACCTTTCTCAACTCTAGAGAGCTGTTGTGCTGCTGCATATTGGGATTAATCCGTGGACCGAGTCGACTGTTGATCGGTACTTTGCGCTTCGTTGGTACATCAGCAATGGCCACGGAGTCCTCTAGCTCGAATCGCCGCTTTCCTATCTCTGCCACGCCACCCGAAGCGGGGGCACCATCAACCACGGGTATAGGTATCAATTGGCGCTGAAGTGGTGTTGTTACCGCCGTAGGATTGAAGGGGAATGGCATCATAGCGGGTGGTGGTGGTGGACCGCCAGGATTACGAGCATAGTCAGCGGGATTGGGCACGCCCATCGGATTTGGACCGGCGCCGCCGCTCATCAGCGTGTTGGGTCGCACATTACCACTGAATGGGTTAATAGTGGTCTGCCCGGGACCCGGCGCTGGTGGTGCTACTGGTCCCTGACCCCCAGCTCCTGGCGGCGGCCCTCCTCCTCGCGTCCAAATCTCGGGCGCATCTGGATTGTACTCTCGCATGGACATCATAAGGGCTGAGTTGTTGATACCTTCGAAAACAACAGGGTTGATTCCGTGATCCCAGGGGCACGTCTCTCCCCTTACGCAATAGCCCTTCTCGTCGAAGTCACGACAGCGCTGGCGTGGATGGAGCGCGGCTGGATGCTCAACGGGTGCGGGAGGTACAACTGGTACAGGAACTGGTTGGATTACTTGACCAGCAGCCTGTCCTCGATCCGGTGACCCCTGCTGATTCCGCCGTGAGCTCCGATCGGGCGACATGGATCGGCTGTGCGACCGGCGGCTCTTGTTGTTTCCAAAGCGAGGCCGTTCGTCCCCATTATTGCCACCGCCGATGCGACGGCGGTCAAAGTTGCGTCGTCCGTGACCGTGGCGGTTATCAGTCTGAGAGCCTGGCGGGGATTTATTCCGGAACTGGCGTTGGGTTTTCTCGCGCTCGTTCGCCCGTCGATCGCGGGATCTGGAGCGGCGGAAGGCACGCTCATTGGACCGCGAACGGGAACGGGACCGAGACCGCAGGGAAGCACGTCGCCGACGACTGTCGCGTGGTTGGTTCTCCTTGTCGGCATAGCCCGCCACCAGGCCTACTCCTCCACCACCACTTCCGCTGCTTCTGGCTGTAGGTGGACTAGCGCTACGTACATGGTGTTGGTGTTGGTAGTGGGAGGAGGCGGACTGCAGATTGTGGGAATCTTTGGTTTTCTGCTGCAAGAAATTAATGCAAGAAAAGATTAACAATGCTGTCAAATTCTTTGGATTCAATAATACTCACATCGAAGGCTGTCTTGGCATCTGTAGTAGAGTTCGAGGCAAAGCCACTTTCCTGGCTAACAAAGGCGAGCGCCTCAGCTTCTCTAGCATGGTGGCTCACTTGGTCCAACGCAGCCTGATTGCTCTCGAGGGTTATCACATTGTCTTTAGGTGCCGGAGGCGGTGGTGAATCGGCGGCCAGCACGGCCTCGATGTCATCATGTGCCCCGTCAATGGCCAAGGCCAGTTCATGGTCGAGATCCAGCTCAGCGGCGGTGGCGGCGGCGCTATTGGCCGTCGATGGCAGTGGGGCGGGCAGCGTCAGATACTCCTCGCTGGCAATGGCATCGAACAATCGTTCAACAAAGCGTGTCGTTTCCTCGGACAGAAAGACGTCGAGCTGTTCGATCATGATCCGCTTGAGATCCTTATCCGATTTGTCTTTCTTGAGCAGTGCGATAACGTAGCGCGCCAAGGCCGAGGAGTCTGCATCGCAACTGTGGCGCATAAAATGGGAAGGGTTCGCTTAATGAAAAAAGTTCAAAGAGGACAAGCTATGCTCTGCTACTTACAGTGGCTCCAAGACCACGCTCAGCCAGTCCTTGAGCTTGTCGGAGTTCTCCAGTATCATGCTGAGGCGGGTTAGATGCTACTGCTTGCTGCTGCTGTTGTTGTTGGCTGCTGCTTGCGTTGGTCTGAGCTCTGGTTCGGGTAGGGGGTTAATAGTTCTCGGGGTGAGGCGCGCACACATGCACACACGCCCGAAAAATTTATTTATAAGATGACCTCTATCGCCCTGCTTCGATGATGACGATTCCAGTCTGCTCTAGGGCTCAATAGACTTTTGGTGCGATCTGCTAAAAGTAGATGGCGGCGATTAGCTTATTTTTGCTGGCTTTTCGGGATCTTTTCCCGTTTTCCTCAAATGTCAGCTGCTTCTTCTTGTTCGCTCGGCTATCGTCAATAAGAAAGTTTCTCGATTTTTTTTGCTACCCGATACTTTTTGCTTGCGTATGAGAGCACACACACACAGACGCACGCACACACACTCACGCAGGCACAGGCATTCACATATGTCCCACCAGCAGCACCCAGTTTTTTGCGCCCAATTTTGGGATGCTTGTTGATCAAATTATCTCACAAAAACACCTTTGGCACGTACCTCCTGTCTTAAATTTAACTTATCAATAGTTTTTGTACAATTTATTGTAGTTTTAACAGCTATTTTTGTATTTTTCACTGCACTTTCTGTTGCAAGGTTGCTTCTGGACGAGTCTAGGCTGCGTAGTCGATATACTGTATCGATAGTTGGTAGCCGATACCCTCTTACTTGTGCTGGCAGAAAACCTTCTATTTAAACTAGCTGAATTCTCAATACACATAGGTCACTAATTATTTGTATGTATTAACTTAGAGATAATAAGCAGCAAAAAAAAATATGATAAAAATGAAAGTTTCATTGAAGAGAACGTTTTTGTTACATTTCGCATGCCCAGTGATATTACTCGATGATAAAAGACATCTGAGCACCACTGGCTACTTACATCGAAATGACAATTCATCCCTGGTCATTTCGTGTTTCTGTGAAATTCTCGTAAATTGCCATGTGCAGTATAGGTGAAGATGATTTCGGCGACGAGGGAGGAGTCCATGCCATGGTGGCAGAGTCCCTGCCCGCTGGCATAGTTCTGAGCACAGGGGACTGCGCCAAATGCGGCACATCATCCTCCGAGCTGTACAAACTGAGCTTCCGGACGCCGGAGTGCCGTACTTGCTTTCTTAACTATGTGAGGCACAAGTTCAGGGCAGCGCTGGGCGCAGCCAAAGTTCTGCCTCGAGATTCGGAGGTCCTCCTGGTGCTTGATGGCTCTGCCGAGTCCCTGGTGCTGATGGATATGCTGCACTTCGCCCAGACGCAGAACACATTCAAAAGGCTTCATTGCAATGCTCGTGTGGTCTACGTGGAGGACCAAACACTGCAGCAGGGCGATTCTGTAGATGTGGAATCTCTTCAAGCATTGTCTCAACAATACGAACCCTTTGAATTTCATGTGATAGAGTTGGGGGCACCGGCCAGCTCTCTACGCACTATTAAGGAGTACTCCCCCACCGCTTCCAAAGAAATCGGCAGACTTGCGATTAAACTGGAAAAACTGCGAAGCCTTACAGCTCGCCAGGATTACCTGCAGCAGGAGCGCAAGAACCTAATTGCTTCAGTGGCCCAGCAGCTCCATTGCAGCCATGTTTTTGAATCCAGTATAAGTGTGGACTTGGCCACGCAATTGCTGACGACGATCGCTTTGGGACGAGGTGGCAGCGCTGCCTTAGATGTGGCTCTCCTGGATGACCGACTGGCCGGTGGCGTCAAACTTCTTCGACCCTTGAAAGACCTCAACGAGCAGGAGGTACAGTTCTATGTGCATGCCCAGCGACTTAAACCACTTCTCAAAAGTTGTCTCCGGTATGGCCAGGAGCGCGGAGAGGCCGCCAGCCTGCAGAACCTCACGTCGGCGTTCGTAACCAACCTGCAGCAGAACTACGCTTCCACCGTGTCTACAGTGTTCCGGACTGGGGACAAAATTGCTCCCAAAACGCACCCTGAACAGGCCAGTTGTGTTCACTGCCAGTCTGCGCTGGATTTCCAACTCTCAGACACTCTCCTGGCCATCGAGTATTCGCGTTCGGTGTCCGAGGCAGGCGTGGCTCTCTACAAGAACGGCGAAGATCTCGAAGGAATGGCTAAGAAACGGCTGGAGTCCCAGGATGGCCTGTGCCATGCTTGCCATCGCATACAGACGGAGTTGGACAGTGGTATATAGTTGTTATATATAAAATTAAATATATTTTCCACACTATAACTTTGCCAACTTTGTGTTGACTAGTGGTTGCAGCTGCAGATGACCATCGATAGGCGGAACATTGGATGCGAGCACTACCTTATGGAAGTCGTAGATGATATAGCGGTTGTATCGCTTGGCAGTGCGATGTTGGTCCTGTAATGATTCGGGCAGGATGATAGTTTGTGTGCAAGCGCCGGGATCGCTAGGGTACAGTTCATCTCCAGGAAGCACTCCGAACATGCATTCATCGCAGCGATAGTAGACGGGTTGCACCATTGTGCCGCCCCACGTGCTCCGATGGCGAGAAAAGTCGGCCAGCTCCTGCCAGCTGTGGAAATTCATCAGTCGAGCCGTGTCGTACAGCAGCATAAAAGGCAGCCAAATGGAGCCGTCTTGGGAGCGGGACCAGGCCTCTTTTGGGCTCATCCAGTGAGCTGAAGCCACCTCTTGCGGTTCCAGAAGCAGGCTCACATTTTTGGCATGATTATCTAGCGTGGCAACATAGTAAACCGTATCATACTTACGATTGGCCGTGGCCGCTGTACGCCAAACAGACCACTCGTGAAGGGCCCACAAGTTGGGTATTACATTAAAATGTTTACACAGCTCCAGAAATTGCGAGGCATCATTGTGAACACGACTTTGCCATTCAGAGCGATCACTGATGGGTTCCAAGGTTAAAGTCCGTGTTGCTGGCGTCTTTGCGGTGTCGTCCCAATTATTTAGGCAATCACGGTTTAAACAAATCAGGATTCCCACTTCCTCGAAGGCTTCCCTGAGGGCAGTCAACCTTAAGGCGATGTCCCTGGAAAAGTGCTGCCCACCAGAGAGGAACTGCGGCCTAGGAGACTGCTGATCTTGGGTAAGCATTTTCAACTGCTCAGCGGTTACTCCGAAGGAGCGGAAGTAGTTCAACCACTCGGAAGATTCATCATCTCGGGGATCAAACACGCCTCCAGGAAAGACGCAGTGATTAATGGTATAGGATGTGCTCTCGGTGCGTTTAATCAAAAGTAACTTAAAGGAAAAGTAAACCAATTATTTGAATTTGTATTGTAACCTTTGGTCAAACTTTGGTAAACTCACACTGTAGTCATAATCTTTGTTGGAATCCTCTTTGGCAGCCAATATGAGGCTAGCAGAAGACCTGTATGTACTCTTCTTAGGATGAGCTACCATTGTTTGCAGACGTACAAATCCGTGATCCAAACTTTAAAGTTTAGTCTTTGAAACCTTTGCTCCTTAGTACCCCTTTTTCTAAGGTAGTCGACCTGTAGATACCCTTTTAAATGAGATTTATAAGAATCAACTGGTATTTATAATGATATGAGGTAACGTGTTCCTTGAAAGAAAAAAACCACGTTTCCTCTAAGAAAATCTAGACAATAGATATTTATACTAGAATTGTCACAATTTGTAGCTATGCATTAATTTATACAGATATATATACTCCCTAATCAACAGGTATGCGCTATAAGAAACAGCTGACGAGCAATCGATAATGCTACCAATCGAAATCGGTATCGCTCTCAGTTACCTAAACGAGATGTCCAAACAGGTGTTGCCCAAAATCCGACTGTCTTCCAGCCTTATTCTGCTGGCCAGTAGTCGGGCTGCGAAGCCCAAGACCTTCGACTACAATGTGAGCCTTTATTTGCATTAAGCTAAATCTTAATCTTTACTAATCTTATTAATTGAATGCTGATTAGGCCCTGCTCTTGACTCGTACACCAAAGTCAACTTTTATGCCAGAGTCCTCGGTCTTTCCCGGTGGCGTATGTGATGGCACGGACAGTTCACCCTCTTGGTTAGAGCACTTCCAGCGAAGCGAAATCAGCTTAGCCAAGCTGCAAGACTTAAGCAAAATAAAGGGGCCGCGACCGGAGATTTTCAAGTCTATAGGAGATAACGAGGGTATAGATCCGTAAGATTGTGTACTGGCTCTCTGGAAAAGCCATTCTGTAACTTCTTGTCTTTTCCATAGCTCCTTGTCCTTGCGGCTAACCGCCATAAGAGAGACCTTTGAGGAATTGGGCATCTTGTTGTGCCGGGACAGGAAATCTCTGACCTCTACCAGTGGCTTCGGACAGTTCCACGAGCAGTTTGATCGAGCACACTGGCAGCATGTCGTTCACAACGACGCCAGCAAGTTCCTGACGCTCTGCAAAGAGCTGGAAGTGCTGCCCGATGTGTGGTCCCTGCACGAGTGGTCCGTCTGGCGCACACCGTCCACATTTAAGAAGCGATTCGAAACGGCCTTCTTTATGGCGGCTTTGGAGCAGGAGCCTAGTGTGCACATCGAACCAAATGAGGTCAAGGACTGTGCGTGGCGCTCCCCCTTGGACTACCTTCAGGCTTGCTTGACGAAGAAGCTCTGGTTGCCGCCACCCCAATTCTATGAGCTATCCCGTTGCCTGAACTTTCCATCTTTGGATGATTTACGGAAGTTTGCCGAAAAGCGTTCCGAGAAGGGCATTGATCTGATCCATCCTGTAATGTACAAATGCAAAAATGGAGTCGTTCATCTCTTGCCTGGCGACGATGCGTATCCCGTCGATCCAGATGCTAGTAATGACAAGATAGAGACTGGTCTGTCAGTTGAAGACTTTCGGTCGAAGGCTAACGGAAGACTTCACCGCTCGGAGCACTGGAACCAACATCAATCGCAGCTGCTAATAAACTTCGATAGGACAGATGGTCAGGTGCATCCCTTGGACCCCAACAAGTTATAGACGATTGCGTCTTTGATGATATTAAATTTGCGCATTTATTAGATTTTTTTAGTATTAGATAAGGAGACAAGAATCGGCAAGAGTAACACAAGTGCTTAATATTGATGAATTTGTATAAGTTAAAGCCTGCGTTCCTTTTAACTAAAACTATACCCTACAAGGGTATAATGAAACATATCTTCTGAATTGCGTTTTAGAAAATAGATGAATTATAAATTTATTCGGATGTTTAATAACTCATAGGGTTAAACAAAAGTTAGAAGATATACTTTGCTATGGTTTTTCGTTTGCTCGTTTATTCTTTACTGATTACCCTTGCCGTACCAGAGCTTGTACAGGTACTCGACTTCCTCCTCTGAAACATGGCTGCTCTGTTGGTATCCTGGCTTTTGCTCTGGCTGCGATCTAAAAGACAGATATAGCGGGATTATTAAAATGTGTGGAACACACTTAACAGTTGGGTTGGTACTCACTTGTGGTCGGGTGCGTATCCAGAATGGGTCCAGATCTCGTGGGCCTTCTGGTGTGGCTGGTGTTTGTGCTTGCAGTGCTCCAGAGTCTTGTCGATATTCTTCTGATTGTTAAGCAGGATGGCGAGCTTTTGATCGATTTGGAAGGTCGCCACTTGCACTCCGCGAACCGTGTTCTCAATACTGTTGAGGCTCTTGGCTTGGGTGCTATTCAGCGTGGTGAGACCGCACTCCAGCTGATTTAACTTGAGATTAGCTCGGTCAGCCAGACCACTCAGCTCATCCAAATGCCCCAACTGACCGTCGATGTTGCGCTGCTGCCGGTGAAGCACCTTGACCTTACCATCCAAACCATTGAGCTCTTTGATTATCGCCTGCTTTAATATCTGTTCGATCTCGGCCAAATGAGTGTTGATAGATGTGCCCAATTCATTTAGGTTTTGCTCATATTTGTTCTGGTTGACATCAACCTTGCCCAACGCACTTCGCACTTCCAGTTCCACCTTGGTGAGGTTTTGAATGGCCTGCTCGTTTCGGTTTTGGGTTGCCGTGACTATGGCTGTTAAATTTGTTAGCCCAGCGGATGTGTCCTGGAAGCTGTCAACAACCTTTTCTTCGAGTTTGATTAGAACCTTGTCCAATTCTGCAATGCGCTCAATCTCATCTCTCAAAATTTTGATCTTTTCCTCGAAACTTTTGCTCTTGTTGTTCACATCAAGCGCTATTCGGACAAGTTTTTCCACTTCCTCGTTGCTTTTCTTCAGGACTTTGACGGCCTCCGCTTCCGAAGGCTTCTTGAAATCCGTGGATACATTCTGGGCGAAAGCGGGCCAAAAGAGGCAAAAACAGACCGTTGTAAACAGGAATTGGATTCTCATGATGCTTCTCTGTTGAACTTCCAAAGTAGTGTGTCTGCTGTCGATTCGAACTGTGTCTTAAGTAGCCCAACTAAAGGTTCTGAAACGTGTGTCCGACCTGGTTAGGTTCTATCTATCATAGTTCAGTTGTGGGTGCAGCTGCAAACATTACTTTAATCTTTATCTATTCCACCAATTCAACAAGGTTGACCCACAGTTCCAATATATAGTGAAGATATAAACAAATGTTTGGTAATTATCTGATGGCTTAGTAGAAATCACAAACGAGCCATGTTCTACCTTGTCTTACGAGAAATATTTTGGTTCAACGACTTTCTGGCGGTCAGTGAGAAATTTTGTGATTGTCACGTTTTAAAATTATTATTTTTCCCTAAATAGGTATTTTGTGAGAGATACTTGCATTTAACTGCTAAGCTGACGTGACCAAATGCGCTGCTTGTTACATTTCATTCAGAATATAGGTCTACATGAGGATGTATAGCAAGAAAATGATTATAAAGCCTAAAACCTATGGTTTGAAAAAGTAAAAGATACCTTTTACTTATAAACCAGCACGCGGTAAATATAATTACCTGCTACCAATGGGGTTTAACGATATGATAAGATATGTGCCCCGAAAATGTAAGAAATAGGAAACATTGTGACAAAAAAAACTTGATCAGCATTACCAGGCGAGCCGATCTACTTTTAGTCAGATGCTTGAAAATATTTGAAGGAGTAATTTCCGACCCTATAAACCATATATATTCTTGATCAGCATCAACAGCCCAGTCGTTCTAGCCATGTCCGGTCAAAAAATAAATTTTTCACATTTTTTCGAAAATTGAAAATTTTATAAGGGGTTACATCATTAAAATTGCCAAAAATTGAAAAAAAATTGAATTTTGTAAATTATAAAACTGAGTATGCAGCTTTGTTATTTGACTAAAAACTAGCATAGAACAGCTTTCCGAATTAAAATTAATGATTTTTTGGCTTAGTTATGAGTTTTTTTAAACTATGATTTTCGGAAAAAATGTTCTGTTTTTATACCTTTCTGCAGGTTTTTATGATTTTAGTCAGAAACTGACAATAACATCAACAAACGCAGTATGCAGATTTGTTGGTGCAATAAAAACTAGCACAGAAAAGCTTTCCGAATTAAAATTAATGCAATTTTGGCCTAATTATGATGTCCGAAAAACTTAGATCTTTTTAAAAAATGGTCTGTTTTTATACCTATTTGCAGAATATAATTTAAGTCATAAGCTTGAAACGTAATGAAGGAGTCATTTCCGACCCTATACACCATATATATTCTTGATCAGCATCAACAGCCCAGTCGTTCTAGCCATGTCCGGTCAAAAAATAAATTTTTCACATTTTTTCGAAAATTGAAAATTTTATAAGGGGTTACATCATTAAAATTGCCAAAAATTGACAAAAAATTGAATTTTGTAAATTATAAAACTGAGTATGCAGCTTTGTTATTTGACTAAAAACTAGCATAGAACAGCTTTCCGAATTAAAATTAATGATTTTTTGGCTTAGTTATGAGTTTTTTTAAACTATGATTTTCGGAAAAAATGTTCTGTTTTTATACCTTTCTGCAGGTTTTTATGATTTTAGTCAGAAACTGACAATAACATCAACAAACGCAGTATGCAGATTTGTTGGTGCAATAAAAACTAGCACAGAAAAGCTTTCCGAATTAAAATTAATGCAATTTTGGCCTATTATGATGTCCGAAAAACTTAGATCTCTTTAAAAAATGGTCTGTTTTTATACCTATTTGCAGAATATAATTTAAGTCAGAAGCTTGAAAGGTAATGAAGGAGTCATTTCCGACCTTATTAACCATATATATTCTTGATCTGCATCAACAGCCCAGTCGTACTAGTCATGTCCGGTCAAAAAATAAATTTTTCACATTTTTTCGAAAATTGCCAAAATTGACAAAAAATTGAATTTTGTAAATTATAAAACTGAGTATGCAGCTTTGTTATTTGACTAAAAACTAGCATAGAACAGCTTTCCGAATTAAAATTAATGATTTTTTGGCTTAGTTATGAGTTTTTTTAAACTATGATTTTCGGAAAAAATGTTCTGTTTTTATACCTTTCTGCAGGTTTTTATGATTTTAGTCAGAAACTGACAATAACATCAACAAACGCAGTATGCAGATTTGTTGGTGCAATAAAAACTAGCACAGAAAAGCTTTCCGAATTAAAATTAATGCAATTTCGGCCTATTATGATGTCCGAAAAACTTAGATCTCTTTAAAAAATGGTCTGTTTTTATACCTATTTGCAGAATATAATTTAAGTCAGAAGCTTGAAAGGTAATGAAGGAGTCATTTCCGACCTTATTAACCATATATATTCTTGATCTGCATCAACAGCCCAGTCGTACTAGTCATGTCCGGTCAAAAAATAAATTTTTCACATTTTTTCGAAAATTGCCAAAAATTGACAAAAAATTGAATTTTGTAAATTATAAAACTGAGTATGCAGCTTTGTTATTTGACTAAAAACTAGCATAGAACAGCTTTCCGAATTAAAATTAATGATTTTTTGGCTTAGTTATGAGTTTTTTTAAACTATGATTTTCGGAAAAAATGTTCTGTTTTTATACCTTTCTGCCGGTTTTTATGATTTTAGTCAGAAACTGACAATAACATCAACAAACGCAGTATGCAGATTTGTTGGTGCAATAAAAACTAGCACAGAAAAGCTTTCCGAATTAAAATTAATGCAATTTTGGCCTAATTATGATGTCCGAAAAACTTAGATCTTTTTAAAAAATGGTCTGTTTTTATACCTATTTGCAGAATATAATTTAAGTCAGAAACTTGAAACGTAATGAAGGAGTCATTTCCGACCCTATAAACCATATATATTCTTGATCAGCATCAACAGCCCAGTCGTTCTAGCCATGTCCGGTCAAAAAATAAATTTTTCACATTTTTTCGAAAATTGCCAAAATTGACAAAAAATTGAATTTTGTAAATTATAAAACTGAGTATGCAGCTTTGTTATTTGACTAAAAACTAGCATAGAACAGCTTTCCGAATTAAAATTAATGATTTTTTGGCTTAGTTATGAGTTTTTTTAAACTATGATTTTCGGAAAAAATGTTCTGTTTTTATACCTTTCTGCAGGTTTTTATGATTTTAGTCAGAAACTGACAATAACATCAACAAACGCAGTATGCAGATTTGTTGGTGCAATAAAAACTAGCACAGAAAAGCTTTCCGAATTAAAATTAATTAAAAAAATGTGAAAAATTTATTTTTTGACTGGACATGGCTAGAACGACTGGGCTATTGATGCTGATCAAGAATATATATGGTTAATAAGGTCGGAAATGACTCCTTCATTACGTTTCAAGCTTCTGACTTAAATTATATTCTGCAAATAGGTATAAAAACAGACCATTTTTTAAAAAGATCTAAGTTTTTCGGACATCATAATTAGGCCGAAATTGCATTAATTTTAATTCGGAAAGCTTTTCTGTGCTAGTTTTTATTGCACCAACAAATCTGCATACTGCGTTTGTTGATGTTATTGTCAGTTTCTGACTAAAATCATAAAAACCGGCAGAAAGGTATAAAACAGAACATTTTTTCCGAAAATCATAGTTTAAAAAAACTCATAACTAAGCCAAAAAAATCAATAATTTTAATTCGGAAAGCTGTTCTATGCTAGTTTTTCGTCAAATAACAAAGCTGCATACTCAGTTTTATAATTTTCAAAATTCAATTTTTTGCCAATTTTTGGCAATTTTAATGATGTAACCCCTTAAAAAATATTAAATTTTTATTTAAACCTAATAAATAATCAACTCATTTTTCAAATATTATTTATTAATCGAAATGTAAAAAGATTTTAATGTACTTTTGTATGGAGCGTTTTTGTGATTAATGTGATTGTTGTTACTAATTTTTCGGAATCGTTTTCTCTCAGCTCGTTAATATCCTTGGGGCAATGAATCGTCTTCGTACCAGATCCTGTAGGAATCACCAGGCTGAACAGGCTGCGGCTTAAAGATAGGCTGCTTTGGAGATGATTCAGGATGGGAGTGCGATTTATAGCCATGCTCTTCCTTGGGACACGGCTTCGGCTTGGTCGTTGGGTGGGAGCTGTGGGCAGGCGCTGGCTTCCAGGGCTGCTCATATGGTGCCGGAGCGGGATTATATTGTGGAGCAGTCTCCCAAGGCAATGAATCCCGCCAGGTGCTAGAGCTATGACTGGACTGGGAGTGGTATTTCTTCGGCTCCGGGGACTGGGCATAGGCCGAAACTCTCGAGGATTCTGGATACTCTCCTGCAATAGGTTGGGGTGAATAATTCGTAGTCATCAGTGAGGATCGGGATATTAATTACCTTGCTCCTGGGGTCCCTTGACATTCCACACTTGCACCAAGTCGACGCGTTTAGGCTCAGGGCGAGGATGAGGATGGGGCTTAGGGTGAGGCTGAGGGTGGGGTTGAGGGTGTGGGTGAGGGTGAGGATGAGGGTGGGGTTGAGGCTGGGGGTGAGGATGTGGCTGAGGGTGAGGGTGAGGACGCGGCTGAGGGTAATGCGGTTCTGAAGCCGCAGTTTGGTAGCTTGATTCATAGGACTGAGAGTGATGGCTGCATTCCTCCAGATCAAGTTCAATGCGCTTTTGGGAGATGATCAGTTCGCGCAGGGCCCCCTCCACCTTCCATGAGTTAAGCGGCTGCAGGTGCTTCACCGCGTGGGTCAATTCCGCCAGGCGAACCTCCTGGGTGCGATTCACGTCCTTAAGCTGACGTTCTAGCACATCAAGCTTGTGATTGGAATTTATGCTGATCTCCTTAATGCCAGCCAGTCTCTTCAGCTCCACCTCCACGTTGATTTGCGATGTCTCCAGGCTGTCAACGGAGCATTTCAGGCCGTTCAGTTGCGGCAGGACAGTGCGAGTGATCAGCCTGGCCAGGCCATTGATATTTTTGTCAATATTGCGGGCACTTTGAAGCACGTGCGTCTGGTAAGCGTCCATCTTGGACTCTAGGACACGGAGTAGCTGCGCCGTGACCTGTTGCGCACGGGCCAGCTCCAGGAGCTCGGATTCCGAACGCTTGGCATACTCTTCGCCTTGTTTTGAGATGTTGAACAGCGTGGCCACCATTAAATCGGTCTTCTCCACCAGGACTACTTCGAGTCGGGCTAGCAGTTCCTGTACGAGGGTAACAATGTTGAGAGCCTCCTTCTGCGCTGCCAAGTTAGCCTTGGTCTCCTCGTAGACTGTGGCAATTCTGGTCAGGAGCTCATTGGCCCTTCCAATGCCATTCGTGTTGTCTTTGAGCAGCTCCACCAGGTCATCCTCCGCCAGGGCACTGCACAGGCACAAGCCCAGGAATAGGAATGTTACAGAAACTCTCATTTCTTCTACTGCAAGTTGCTTTCGGTTACAAACACCAAATGTTAGTGTCTTTTGTTGGTCAAGGGCGAGCGCTTAAATATGTTTCCAGCCGAACACGTGTGCCCCTCAGAAACTAATCTATATTCATGTTTTTGTTCGTTTACTCAGAAGACTTTTCTTCTGTGCTTTAATCGCATAAAGCAAAGTTTGAATTCTGCACGAATTTCAAATATTTAGTGTTGATAAGCGGAAAATAATCGTTTCCTGGGTGCAGGAGCCGTTACGTTATCGATATCGATTAGCGACTGCTGATCAGCTGTTGGCGGGACCAAAACAAAACCGAATTTCAAGTTTAACAAAATCAGATTAGTTCAAATCAATTTACCTTGAAGGTGGAGCCATGAGCCAAATAGCTCCTATTTCCAAATGGCGCACCTCAGCCAGCGTAATTCTGGTGGCCAGCGATGGCGGAACAAGCGACGATTACAAGGCAACTACGGAGATCTTTTCAGAAATGGTTATTCTTCCGTCACTTATTCCGCCCGATCTTGCAGTTGCTAATGCTTAAGCGCAGCGATGCCACGGCTATGGTGGTCAACCAGACCGTATTCCCCGGCGGGCTTCTGGACTCGGAGGCCGATGAGAGTGTGGCCTGGCTGCAGTACCTCGAGGAGTTCGGTGTCCCGCAGGAGGAGCTTCGCCGCCTGGTGCTGATTCGGGACGATCGTCCTGCCATTTTGGCACCACAGGGCACCGGCTGTTATGATCGCTTCTTCAAGCGCTCCCGCATTTGGTCGAGGTGAGTCGGTCCAAAGGTTAAGGTTGAGATTGAGTAAGGTGATCTTTGCCCTCTGCGGTTTTAGGGAGATTATACTGCGCCTCACCGCCGTGCGCGAGAGCTTTGAGGAAGTCGGAGTGCTGCTGGCCCGCAATCAGAAGCAGCTGGATTTTGGTGCGGTGGCCTGCGTTCAGGATGTGCCTGATCTTGAGGCGTGGCAGCGAAGGGTGCACGACAAGCCCAGCGAGTTCTTGACCCTATGTCGTCAGTTGAAAGTGGTCCCGGATCTTTGGGCTCTGCACGAGTGGTCTGCCTGGTCAAGTCCTGGGTTTCTGCGAAAGGGGTAAGTATTTCAAAATGTTTATTTTTCTTTATTTTCAGAAATTATCTTCTGTAGGTATGAAACGGTTTTTTTTATAGCTTTTGTAGATAAACAGCCCAAACTGCTGAATGAGCCCGGCGAGGTCAAAGAGACGATGGTAAGTTAGTTCTCCTGGCCAGTAAGACATCTTTTCATAAATAATTAATTAATGAACTTGATATTTAACTAGTGGCTGACACCGCTGGACTTGCTGCGACTAAACGAACTGGGTGAGGTTTGGTTTCTACCTCCTCAGGTCTACGAACTGTTGCGCCTTATGGGTATCAAGGAGTACTTGCGTTTATTGGATTTTGCCATCAAGCGAGGAGTATTGGGGACGACCATGTTTCTGCCGGTGGTTTACAATTGTGAAGGAACTTTGGTCTATGTTCTGCCAGGTTTGTTTGATCTTACAAATATCAGATCCTAAGAATAAAGTATTCACTCTTTTCATAAGGCGATGACTTCTATGTACCAGAGCCACACTTGGTCACCGAGATTATACCTTTTCCTGGCTCAGCGGATGAGTTTAGAGCACGTTCACAGCGATTGCATCGGTATGCCTATGGCGCTTCCATTAAAAATTTGGAGCTTAACATTCCCCCACCCAATGGACACTTGAGACCGCTAAAATTCCAGATGGAACGCCAAAAGCTGTAATCACATTCCGCCGTTGCCTGGACATCGATGACGATGGGGGTCACCCTAGCTGCTTAGCTCTGATAAGATGCTTACTGTGACCCCTGTCACAAATTGTTGTTTTCTGAAATTGTTCTAAGCGGCTTTAGCCGGTCATCAAATTATGTAGACCCCGAGCTCTGGACAGAGGAGCAATAATTATAATTTTATAGGCGAAATTTTAATTAAAAAAATGTACAGTTTAACCTAACGTATTGTCGTAATTTTGGCTTACGATGAAGGTGCCCCCGGTTGTCCTGGATAGCACATCAAAAGCGCAACTCTATGCATATTCATGTGTCCTCCCTCCCTGAAACCACAATTCGGAAATTAAACAGGATTGGGATCAAAGTGGACGGAGAAGGAATGCGACCGCGAACCCAGACAGTATATAATTTCATCCCATTAGAAGTGCATTTAAATCACTTTGTGTACAGATCTCCCCACCACTCCCACCTCCTGGGATGTTTTACGCCACCTGCCGTGTGACTTTGTGCGCTTTACAGCCTTGTCTTCGGAAACTCCACCCCCCGTTGGGTCGTTTAAAAATCAAAATCTCAACGAGCTTGTACGCTTCCCCACTTTTGTTTGCTCCGTGCCCGCTCGACTGTTTATTATGCATTGTAAAGGACCCGGTCCCCAGGACAACCCCTCAGAGACGAGGAACAAACTTCGAGAGACGGGGTGGAAACTACACTGGCTGGCAGGGGACTGTGGTACGTAACAATTACTTCGTTTAATTTAACCTTTTGTGGTTGCGTTTCCTGCCTTTATTGTTCTGTTCTCGGCTGCTCATTTAATATCGATTAATTATGCTATTATGGGGCCCAGCGGAAGTAACCATTATGGAGTGTAATTAATAGAGTACTCTCTAGGTATCAGAGAGAAGGTGTAAAGTCTATAAATCAACTATATTCAGACTAAATGTATTTAAAAATATGCTTTTGTTAATTAAAGACCAAATTCAATGTACATTTTATTTCTTACTAAATATTTTAACCTATTTTTGTGATTTTAAATCTATTTTATTGTATTATACTATATTTGTAAGAATATAATTAAAAAGGTAACAAAAGTAATGTCACAAGGGAAGGCTTAACCACACTTGCTCTCCACTGACTTTCTAATTAGCTGTTACCACCGTCGAGGGCAGGGAGGTCGACAAATCCTCCCATAAATTACCCATTAAATTTAAATTCATAATGTGACAAAGTGTCTGGGTGAGTTATGAGCGGGCAAAGCCGCTTAGCATCTTCTAAGACATTTCAGGGCCGGAGTAAATTAGAATCTCCGGCCGTGGCAGCCAGGACTCTTGATTTATGCAGGAGTGAGTGAGCTGAGGCATGCGAAGCAGACGTGGGAAAGACGAGGCCACCGGTCTGTAATTGAATTTAGAGCTCATTTTCATTGCCTCCGACATAATGCTGATTTACGTGGCCACCGATAAGTTTTAGCTGGAAATTGTCCTATATTAATTGCCTGGCTAGGTGAAATGCATATCACGTACTTTCTCGGCATGACTTCTATGGACCCGCCCAATTAGAGAGATTATTCAAGGATGTACCGGTCACCTGGCGGTGACATGAATGCCAAAACAGAGCCGGGACAGATCGATTCGCAAGTAATTGACAACTTCTCGCCCGGTCTTCCCACGGGTGTAACAAAGCGCTCACACACTTGTTCCGAAGAGATTTATTTTTATTGTGTGCATTGTTTGTACTCAACTCGACTCAAGGCGAGTATACCCTTTACTTGGGAAGCAAAGGATAGATTGATTCGATATATATATACATGGTTTGAACTTTCTCATCTTTTAATTAAAAAATATGTACGGCTTTAGAAACAATTAAAATTGCGTCTAAGTAAGTTATGAGCACCTTTTCTAATAAATTCAATTACTTTGGAAAGTGCAGTGCTCGGTACTTCATGTTCGACTATAAGGCAATTTTTTTGGTCGCTTCCCCCGGCTCAAGGCTGGTCCACTAAATGAGTATTACCGCAATAAATCGCCGCAATTCATTTGAGGCGAGTCGTGGCTGGCTGGCAACCCTTAAATCACCAGCAGAAGCTGCTAACTGTTGATGAGAGCCGGCTGCCCATGCTCCGAGCTCTCAGTCCCCGGCTCCCTGTTCCCCGCAGGGCACCACCCACTATTCGTCAGACCGTGAACCTGTTACGGCATGTCAGATTGTCACTGGGGAAATTGCCCCTGGCCCCGGCGAATGCTCTCCGGCTGTTCGGACAAATTGCATCAATTGACTTGCGTGTTCGACATAATGGCAATTGCGGCTGCCTCCCAGAGAGGGTGTGGTTCCACTGAGTGGGGTGGGGGTGTGGCGACGACAGTTGGATTAATGCGCTACATGACTTCCTAATGATATCTTTATTTGGTTCAAACAGGTATCGTGTTCACAATGAGAGATGGATTCCATGACAAAAGGGTCAGAAGGATGTGAGCGGTTCAAGAAAAAAAATGTGTAAAAAATTTTAATACTATCCGATAATCAAAGAAAAAGCTGTAACCCAAAATGTTCATTTATATGAATGTAAGAGGGGGTGTACATATACAGTCAACACCAGGTATCCATAAAATATAGGTTCAAGCACAACCGTAACTACAAGTTGAGAGACGGACCTCTCCCCTTATTACGTAGATAAGTAAAAACAAGAAAGAAAACTATCTTCAGGAAGCTAAAGCCTTGGAATTTGTAATTTAATTATAGGGTCGTATAAAAAATAGATCATAACTAAGTTTCCTTGTTCATTGAAGTGATATTTGAATATGACAATTTCTTCGACAAATCAAAGTTAAAAAAATCATAGCTAGCTAAAAATGCATTATTTTTATTCGGAAGGCTTTCCTATGTTAGTTTTTATTAGGTTAAGAAAATTGCACACTCAATTTAAAATTTAAAAAAATTAAGTTTTTGTCAACATTTTAATGATGTAACCCCTTATAAAATTTTCAAATTTACGAAATTTTTCGAAAATTTCTTTTTTGACCGGACATGGCCAAATCGACTCGGCTGTTGACCCTGATCAAGAATTTATATGATTTGTAGGGTCGGAAATTTATCCTTCGGAGCGTCACAAGCTTTTGAACAACACACTGATAAATGTATAAATATTGACACAGTATTAATATATATTAACCTTACCTTCGCTTTCATTTTTTTAATTATTTTATATATAAACTTATGTATTGTTGTATAATAGGTTATTAGTTAAAGGACATATCTTCAAGTCATATAACATGTTCCAAGTGAATTTTTAATAATTTTTAAGCAGCTGAAACTCAAAAAATTACCTCTAACCTTATGTATCTAGGTACATACATACATATGTACATATATAGCTAAATACATGAAAACACCTCCATGTATTAATAATTTGCCGAACATAATTGAAAAGCACCTGTACACAGATACAGACGCACACACGCACAGGGGCCGAGTGGGCGTTTCTGGTGGAATATAAATTATGCGCTTGCTCGAAGACCCAGGTTGTTATTGTTGTTGTTGTGGCTCCATTTCCTTTGGTTAATTTCTATTTAGCTCCTGGCCTTCTCTCTCGTTCACTCCCTCTTACTCTCTTTCACTCGCAGCCATCATTGCAAAGCTCAAACCACACACACTCACAGAGTAACGGAAGGTTGGAGGATGCATGCTCCCTCTCTCTCCCGCTTGATGTATTCTCTTCCCACTGGAGGACACTCCGCCGCCGTAATTCATTTTCCAGTCCCGCAGCTGCGCAAAAGTAACGCTGGAAAATTAAGCACTTTCCTGAGTGTTGCAGTTGTTGTTGGAACACTGGAGCTCTGGAGCATTGGGGTAGGTGTAGGGCACGGATTACAGTTGCATTCCATTGAATCCGCTTCCAAATTTATGCTTATGTCTGTTTGTGTATCTATGGTAAATGTATATTTGTATGTTTGTAAGCAATATAGCATTGCATTTCGGTACATGTGCAAAATTTGCAATTTCTTTGGCGGCACGGAGCCACTTTTGGCGTGTTTTTTTGTTATCTGTGCGAAAAAACCGTGACCTTGTAACAGTATTTTAATTGCAATTGACAATATGCACTGGATTCGAGACTTAAAATGCATAAATATTGGTTCACAGATTCCTCTTCCCTGATCTTAAACTGTCGATTTATTGACCAATACTGAACATGGTTCTGCCAAAGGATTCTTTCACCCGACGACCCTCATCAAAATCCCGTCTAGCGTCTCATATTTCCATTCGTTGAGGGGGTTGGTGGCATTTAAGAAACCATAAATTTGACGGCAATAACGGATAAAGTATGTTTATTTGGATATTAGGCTAAGCAGTAAAGGCATAATGCTGAAAAAAAGGATAGCAGGAGCCAAAAGAAATTGTGACGACACAAGACGAAAAGCAACGAGGATGACGTACCTCAAAAAACTCTTTAACACTTGATTTAACTCGTCCGAGTACAGTGCGAGGCATCTCTGTAAATTTGACTGGGTAAATGCATTCAGCTTAGGGTTTAAAAAGATATATTTCGAACGAGACCATAAACGTTAAAGTTATTAGATTAGATTAAAATCAAATTAATGTCTGTTTGGTTACTATTTACTAATTTCAGTTCCCGTAAAGTATCAATCTAGACATGTCCATTAGTTTGTTCTTTGATAAGCAAAAAAGGTTTCGTATTTTTAGAGTTCTGTATGTACATATTATACTAGTTTTCGTGATATATGATTTCTGAATATTTAAACTTTTTCCCTGAAAATAATTTCTAATATTGATTTTAAAATCTCAGTTTAATCCCAAAAGTATGATACAATTGATGGTTGTGAAATCCTATAGAATCCTAAATAAAAGTAACAAAGCAGATGGAGAATTGGCGATAATATCGTTGAAGAAACTTATCCCCCGAATCGGACTGTGCTCACCATCCCCCAATCAAGAAATTTTCAAGGAGGGTGAATGGCTGTGTGCTTGGCATAAAAATATGAATTGTAATAGATTTAGATATGAATCAGACATATGTATGGATATATGGATAACTGCGGAGATCTCCGCACAAAGGTCTCGTCCAGTGAAAGGAGCAGTCCCAGCGTAAAATCCAAGCAAATTGATTGAAGAAGCCAAACCGCTTTCTTTGAGATGACATGAAAGAAATTTACAAAAATATACTTCTGCTGTAAAATGCCAC